GGTACTGTGGCCACATTTCCCTAATGTCAAATGTAATTTGTCAGTGCAGCAAGCAGGGGAGGTAGGGCTGATGGTGAGGTCCTGCATCCCTCCTCAGAGCTCTCTATTACTTTTCACTGATGTGGATGATTGAGCCTTAAACTGGCATGTTACTGGACTACAGGACTGTTTCACTAGCACCCGAGCAGATGCAGGTCTTCAGAAGAAGGCATGGAGAAGTTGATGTACCTAAGGCTTATCCATCACCTCTCAAATGTGCAGAGTGTTCTGCTCCAGGGCTGCAAAACTAAGGGAGGACATCTTACTGAGGGGCTAGTCAGAAGACATCTCCCCACCTCAGTAACAAACCTGTGGTGTCCAGTTTGCTTAACTGCAGTGAAGAGCCAGGACAAGTTCATAGGCTACCAGAGGTGACAGGCAATGGGACATTGCTTTTCTGCCTGTGTGAATCAAAGCAGCACCGTGCACGTCAATCACCTACTGGGAGACTTCCCAGGTGGATGTGTGGGGTTTCTCTCCATGCTTTGTGCATTTACAGATAGTCATTGCTGTATTCCTTTAGATCCTTAACACACACATTAAATGAGTGCCTGCCCTGAGGAACTTTTATGCATGTGCTTAAACTTCAGTGCTTTTATGCATGATTGGTTATGTAGCTTTCTGCCCTTTCCACAAATTTCAGGCATATCATTACCTGTGAGCACATGGCCTGTGGGAATTCTGACCTTTCTTGGCTTAGGACAATTTATCATGGATCTGTAATAGCAATAGTAGCTTATAACCTGGAAGCAAATTAGGTTTTCTGTAAGATACTATTGCCTTTAAAAAGTGATCAGGGTACAAAAAGTAAATAAGGCGTAATGAAAAACAACACTTTAAAAATAGTAATTTTACTTCAGAGCTATGTGTTACTTCGTGAGCAGCAAACGAACCATAGAACAACATGGTTTTCCTGGTGGCAGAAGAGAACTGCTACTGAGCGCTGATATACATTCAAAATGTGAACAGAATGAGAACATTATTAAGTTATTTTGGTCTTAATTCAGAGTTTACGTGCACTAAGCTCTATAAAATCTATCACCTCAGCAGTACACAGAGCTCTCCTATTTACTAATTTGCTTAATGAACATCTTCTTAGGTTTGTTTATAAATTTTAACTCTGGCCTTGCTCACCACACAGCAGTCAATGAGACTCTGGCATTCAGTGATGCTACTCTCTGCTGCTTGCCTTCTCCACTTGCCTGAAAAGTACTGGACTTAAAGTGGCTGAGCCACTTGGAGGAAAACGCTCCCAGATTCTTGACAAGTCCATTCTCCGGGTGGTGGAGCAAGCTGCCAGAAGCAGCAGAAGATGGGGAGATGGAGAGTCTCAGTAGCAACTCAACACATGCTTTTGCAACATCAGAGGCACCAGGATCCATTTCTCCATCAAGCTGAAAGCAGAGGCAGCTGAGCACTTGCTGCAGGACCTGTGCTGCTGGTGTGTTTTTTACAGCTGTCTGCCACAGACAGGGTCCTGTTTTCCAAGCAGGAGCCAAGACCAAGCTGCTGCATGGTTAGGCAGTGATGGACACCAAGACCTAAATTTTGTGATCAGGCTCACAGCAGAAGTAAGCTGCACTTGGAAGGAGGAGTGATATCACTTTGTTTTTTGTTTGAATTCCATCTCTGGAGGAAGTAGAAACATTTTATCTGTAAAAGAGCATGGCAGCCAGCCATACTGCTTGCTATCCCCTGTCTAAAGCCAGGATAGATGATTTACAAGAAGGTATAAAATCCTCATCATGCACCTAATTATGCTCTACTACACTATGGGGGGATATTTCCTTCTGAGTCCATCTGGTGATCAGGCTGTACCCTGAAGCATGTGGATTGATTGCCCTCATCATTTTTTTCTCCTAGTTAGTCTAACTGCTGATGCTTTATTTTTATTCATATGAATGTCTAAGCCTTTTTGAAGCTTTGAAAATTATGATTAATTGTGCAATGAAAATTAATAATAGAAGTGCTTACGAAGACAGCTTGATTTGGGAATGGATCCTAGACAGCTGCTTTCTCTAAGAGTGATGGAAAAAGTTGGGAGAAAACAAACAGCAAAAAATTCCAGATCCTGTTTTTTTGTGATGTTTATCATGGGTTTAACCCCTTCAGTAATTGCTGTGAGCTTTATGACAGGTTACTATTACTGGCTCATGAAAGTAAAACCTCATGTCCATCAAAAAACCCAAGAATACCCAATTAAACAGTGGTGCACTGAAAAGTGAAAATGTTTATACTCCTGTACCAGAATGTGGCTATTCCCACACCTTCGGGTGCATGACAGCTTTATTTTTCATGGGAGATTATAGAGATATGGATGAAGATCTGGTAAGGCATTTACTACAGGGTCCCTGCCAACAGCACTTACTGCCTTTTGCACACTGGCAGGTGCTAACATTTTGCCTGGGGTTAAATATCCCAATTTTTCTCTATTTCCCAGAAGAGAGCATTTTCAGAGCTCACACATTTAGCCAGTCTCTAAAACTCCAGATACAGCGAGTGCCATCTCGTGGTTAGCAATCCCTGCTGCGCTGGTGCCAGGGCTGGTGCCCGGGCTCACACTGCAGAGCTGCAGGTTGGGGTTCAGAGATAGTGTCCCAAAACGCAGCCTGGGGGCAGGGGACTAAGAGGGAGGGCTGTATGGCAGGGTGCCTGGCTCCAGTGCTGAGGAGAATGCTCAGGAGGAGAAAAAGCAGCCCCCTTCACAAAACATGCTTTGAATAACAGCATACATCACCTGGTTGCTCTCCAGAGCCTGAGCTAGAGGCAGGTTTTGGTCTCCAGGGACACTGAAGTCCTATGTCTTGCCCATGGGAAATGCATGATATGTGAAAGTCTCCTCTGCCTGCCTCTCAGCAGGCTCCTCTAAAAATCCTAGCCCCATGCAAAAAACTGAGTTGCTAAGGGAAATGCTGTGTCTGAAAATCCCTTCTTCTCCGTGGGGATAGCAAGTGCCAGCATTCATTTAGGACCAAGGGAAAAGCACCCCCTCACATCCTGGTGCTGCTGCCATCTCCCATCCATTGTCTACTTCATCCCTCACATCTGCCCCTGAGTCTAGGGCAAGGGCATCTCCTGGAGATGGAGAACCCAGACCAGTGCTGTCTTCAGGCAGGATTACCTGGTCCTTTCAGATCTGTACTGCCTATCCAGCCGAAAATGGCCCTTGCCGTTTGCAAACACACACACATGTATGCAACACGTGCAAAATACAGTCATCCCACTCGAGGGAAATGCTGTAGTCCCAGTTTCTGCCTGCAGTTTCCTCTCTCTAGTTTACCTCTGCTGGACTCCCAAGTCAAACAACAGGTAAGAGCAGCCTCCTTTTCAGTGCCACTCCTCTTGTATGGCAACAGTGGGTCCTATAGTTAGAAAGAGGAGGACCAGCATAGGGACCATGCTCTGATAACTCCCCCCTTGATGGGCAATAAAATGGATGGGCAATAAATTGGATGGGCAATAAATCTTCATATAACACTCAAAATGTTCTCCTCTGCCAGCATTGGGAAATATCGTGACCAGACAGGATGGGTCTTGGGATGCTGTTCCTCTCCCACCCTGTATTAAATATATAGGTTCATGAGAAGAACAAGGCAGCCAGATCTGATCAGGAACAGGATCTGACCTTTAGTACAGAAACCTTGTGTCTAATTTGCATTTCAGAATACATAAAAAAGCAAAGTTTATGGGTATTATTATGAGCAAAGGAAGAGGATGATGGGTATTAAACTGAATGGGGAAAATTGTTCTGTGTCAGGCTGCAGGTCCAGCTAGCACAGTGCCCCATCTTTGGTGGTGTCTCAGAGTGCCATGTACAGAAATGACCTACAAAATAATTCTTCCCACTTTCTGTAATCTGTGGTTTCAATAACAAAATGGAAGACATCCTTAGTGAGCCCACAGTAGGTTTTGGGGGGTTTTTTTGTTGTTGTTGGTTTTTTTTGTTTGGTTTGGTTTTGGTTTTGCTGTTGTTGTTTTAAAAAAATCTGTCCCTATTTCAGCTATATGATATACATATCCCCATTAGCACATGCATTACTAAAACCAAAGATTACACATTTGGCTTTATAGAACATTTTATTTGGAGAGACTTCGCACGTCATTGAATATTGGTTCTTTATTAAGGCAATTCTGAATGGGCTGGAGGGGAGGGAGAGGGAAGGAACTGAGAATGTGTCAACGGGATTGCATTAAGGCAAAATTCCTTCCTTCTGCATTTCACCACAGTAAAATCCACGTAAAGGCCAGAACAGTAAATGACTCAAGCCAAGGAAGAGATTCAGTGCAAATATATCCCACTGACTATCTGCAGACAGGGCTAGGTCCTCACCTGAGGCAAACTGACAGCGCCATGTTAGCTGCAAAGCTATGCTGATTTAGCTCCTTTGAGGATCCCAGTCTGGGTTCAGGGAAGCATCTTAGTATGTGTTTCATATGCAAGCACATATAACAATGCTTTCCTGAATCAGGGCCCTTTGAGTGCAAGTCTGTAAAGTTAACAGAGTTTAATTTTTATTCACTACATAAATATATCATTCTGAGTCCCTTTGGTTCACTTCTTATCTTATTGCTACTAACTGAGTATATCCCCCCAGTTCCATTAACATGGTTTTAGTTTCTATCATGCTTTGCAATCTGCTTATGTTTGAAGTGTATTATGACATAAAAATGAATTATCCTTTGGAGAGCATTTCTTGCAAACGTTCCAGAGTTTGGGTGTTCTTGGAAGACCACCTTACAGTATGTTTTCTTTCAGCGAGTAATATACTCTGTGAGTAATTCTACTGACAGCAGAGGCATAACTTGCAGGGAAATTACTGCTCAGTTCATATACCAATAACACATAGCAGACTCCAAACACTTCTCTCTTTCCACAAGAATTTCCTAAGAGAATCCTACTGTTCCAAAAATATAGTCACTAATACTCACATGGGCTTGGGGAAACCCCTTTTGTTATCCCAGGTGCAAACTGAAGGAAAGTATGGCAGAAATGCTACCAGAAGCAGGAAGACATTTTCAGGCAGAAGCAGTATATAACATTTCATAATCCTAAAAGCTGTCTGTATCTCCCAAGACAAAGATCTCCAGGTGACCCGTGACAGAAAACCCTGGTATCTATTAATAAAAGGACATGTATAGGCCTTATGAAAACTTGGGAATATGAAAGGGTTATATATAGCAAAGTGGAAAATAAGGCAAAGAAATCAAGCACATATTACTGTTCAGAACAAAACATTTCCTGGATACACGTGGATACACAACTTCTGTATGATCTGCAACCACATATAACATTCATGCCTTAAAGCATGAGCACCCTGCATACTTCCTTGATACGGAGAAGAGCATCCAGTTTGAGGGAACCAAAAGGGTGAATACCAGGCATCAGTACAAGTCTTTTGTGCTTTAAACTTTCTTCATGCCTTTTCCCATAAGGCAAGCAAACACTGTCATGACCATCTTGGGTTTTACTTCAACCAGGTCCTCCGGAAGGGCATAGACTCTTGCTCCAATTTTTCTCGCCATAGAGATGGCGTATCTGCATTGCAGAAGTGAAAAAAAAAACCACAAACCAAAGAAATAAATTAGTGCAGTAGCATTAATTTTCCCTCTGTTAAGAAGTTTTTTACATGATCAGTACCAGGGAGGGTTGGGAACTTTCTAACTGATTAATCAAAATTAAACTTTTGTATAGGAATGTATGAGGTTCATAAAACCTAATTTCTAGTAAAAGGTAGTATGTATTCCCTGATGGTTAGAGCACTGATTACCTGCAGCATGGGCAACTGCAGGTCAAAGTCTGGTATGAAATATTTAGTTTCCCATCCCCTGAAAGATTATCCTAGCAAGGAGCAATTCTGGTCTTGCTCCCCCTCAATCTCTGCGACTCAGTCTTCGCACATGAACAGTTTCAAGAAGATGGAAAGCAGGAGGCTGGTGTTAGTGAAGATCAGTGTTGTTGGAAAAATCAACATTCAGGGACTTGTCTTCTGCTTGAGTCATACCCAGAATCTGCAAGCTGACCTTCCCATCTCCCTCCCCAGAGTGCAGTGTTGCACAGCTACTGGCTCTTCTCCAGTGGGTATGTCTCTTCTCTCTATTTTCTCATTTAAAAAGCTAGAAAATCCCAGGTTCTTCACACTGCAGAGCACATACATTTGTGAAATTCTCCCCAAAGTGCAGAGAAACATGTTGAGGGGAGGAGGGGGGGAGAAAGGGAAAGGAAAAGAGGAAGACATCAGCAGAGGGATGAAGAAATTGAGTATGGAGAGAAGCACATGTAGGATTGCAAGGGAAAAAAAGAGAACAGATGGTAGGAAATGGAAGGGGAAAAACAAAGTGGGAAAAGTCTTTATGAAAATGATGGCAGTTCTGATTGCCTTACAGTCATCCTTTTATCTTTTGTAGTTGCCACATAGCAAAGGAGAAGCTAAACTGATGATCAGACTGGGAGGTGATTTGTATAACTCTGAAAGGAAAGAGAGATGCCCCCAGGATTGGCTCTCTGCTAGGAAATGGTTTGCACTCAGGGGAAAAAAAAAATCAATATCCACATCCATAAAACCAGTTTTTCAGGCATGAATGCTGTCCTCCCCCTTCTCTCTTTAATATGCCCTTGTTCCACCTGTATGTGACTAAAGAGGTATCATGACCTCTAATCACTGGTTTCCATGGCTCACTATTGTTGGCATTGTTCCCTGATCTCTGAAAGAATTTTAAATTTAATAAGAGAAAATAGGAGCTTGTGAAGCCAAGTGATTTTGATCCCTTCAAGGGAATTATAAAGCAGGAATTATAACATTACACACTTCATTTCCATTGATAGTCTTTTTTACTGCCTGACTCCTAGCCTTCATGCTTCTAACTCTGGAGGTATTTTTCAGTTGAGGTTGTGCCAGATGAGAATGATAGCAGAGCAGTTTTCAAAGACAGAGTCAGGCGAGTCTGAGCAGGTAACTCATGTTAAATGTCACTTGGCACAAACGTACTTAGCATTGTTTAGTTTCTCCTCATCATTCAGGTCCTCTGTTTTCAAGAGGTCATATTTGATTGATCCTGGTTGAATGGCATCAATGAGATCCAGGACTGGCATGCTGGTGCTGATTTTGCTATCCTGCACAGATGAAAAATACAATTAGATGCAACAGGATGATAATCTCCCACAAAGCCAGGGTCTAGGCTCAAGAGCAATGGACAGCTCAGTCAAATACCATTTAGATCTTCACAAAGGGTTGCTCAGCATCATTTTTCATGTAAGGCAGACTAAGAACCTTTGCAAGGATTTTTTTTTTTTCTTTCCCCCCCCAACGGATGAGACAGTATTAAATCCAAAGATGGGGTGCTGGGCTAGTGAATTTGCTTCCTGTGGGGAGCTGATATTGATACACATTAATGATGGGAGGTGTGATGGGGATCAGCTGTGTGACTTCTGAGCTCATTATGTGAAGTCCTTGCTTGGTCCAAAGTGCTAATTTACATCCACTGAATGTTCCACAGCCTGAGAAGTGTCTCAAATGTGTCAGAAAAATTGGAAGTTCTCTAGAATTGGACTGTCTCTGTGTTTATAAGGTGCCTTGCAAAATAGGGCATTACCCCTGAATGGTGCTACCATATTATAAAAGTATTGCTATTATTCTTTTTAATTCTGTCATTTGTAATTGCTGTCATTTAATAATCAACAGCACAGTGGTTCTTGATTAATTCCAGTCATCATTCCTGGCTCCATACTTTGATTTCCAATGTCAAACTGGCATTCAAGTTGTTTCCTGTTATGTTCATATCATGTTTCTGTTACATTTTCATAATAAAGCCCCTTGGACAAAATCTCTGTATCTGAACATGCCCTTAAAAGGGAATGAAAAATAGTCAAAATATGGAGTTAATTATATAATAATATATTTTGTGCATGTATATCTGTATATATATCTATATACAGGCAATGTATATAACATACACACAAACACACTGAATAAGAGATTCCTAAGCTGAGACTTCCAAGAAAAAACTGTACCTTGAAACTGGAGATGGTTGAATCCTTCCCGGCTGCAGTCAGTGTTTCATTGACCCAGCTGACAATGATTTCATCATTGACCTTCTCTCCACCACCAATGTCTTCAAGGATATTCAGGGTGTACCTTAAGAGGGAAGCCAGGATATCTGCATTTGCTCTAGTTCTACCATAACCTCAGAACCATCCTGTATGTGTGCAGGTTGACTGTGATCACCCCAACTGTCCTCTTAGACCTGATATTCCCCTGCTTCCCACACACTCAGAGTATATATGAATTCTATTATAACATGCTAATTCATCTACTGGATCTAATTCACCCTCAGTTCCCTAATCACTGTTTTTGTGTCAAAAGGTTTTGATACTCAAAATTCCTGTAAGGTCCCTCTTAGTGGATCTCAGTGTAAATGACTCATTCTCACAGTGCTTAAAAAATAACCACTGACTTCAAGGCCAGAAGGGAACAGTTATGCTCATCTAAGACTGACCTTCTGCATAAAAAAAATATTTTGCTTGTATGTCAGCATACACCTTGGAAAGACATCCCAAATCGATGGCATGTAATTACATCCCTAGATTAATTACCTTCCTGATAAACTTATGCCTTGCTTTATAGACTGAATTTAGTCTGTATTCAGTTCCTAACCACTAGTTTACACCCAATTATGGAGCTCTTAAACACACACACAAGCACACACACACACAGAATTACATTAAAGTGGGGAGAGCTACTGAGTTGCACCTGCTTCAGGTAGCAGATTACCAAACTTCTGCATCAATTCCTTGTTTAAAGTACATTCTCCCCATTCCCTGATACAGAGATCTTTCAACTTCTTTTTTCTCTTTTCCATGCAATGAACATTTACTCATGCTACACAGATAGTGACAATAATAATCTTCTGCATGAGCTTACTCTAACGGCCTTGCCCACAAGATAATGCCCTTCCTGATCACATCCCTAACTAGCAGGAAGCAAAAGGTTACTCTGTCTTTGCATATAAGTGCAAACAGAGGAGTGAGAAAAGCTGAAGCCTGTAGAGCCTTCTCAGTGACAGCATCAGGAAACTACAACGATGCAAACTGAGCATACCAAAACACCCTGAATTTTGTGTCTGACTGCCATACCTTCTCATCAACTGCCAGATTAAGGCCAGCGTGAGCGTACGGTTTCCTTCATTCAGATCTTGCCCAGCGATGCCAACAAGGGAAAATTTGGCTTGATTCTTTCCCAGTTCCACTGCATAGTTGCAGTTTTCAAGCTGTTGGTGACAAGGTCAGTTAGTGAAGTTCAAAAATATAGAAAAAAAGAAGACAAGACACTGTTACTTTAAATTGTTTGGATTGCTTATCCCAGATCTTCCCGAGCAAACAGGAGTTTTGGGGCACTGTGATAATACAGCTCTCTGACTACCAGCAGCCAGTTCCAACCCCAAAATACCTCTGTAAACAGTTAACACAGAAGGAAATATTATACTTCATCAACAGGGCCTGAAAAACAGATCACCCTGGAAAATATGAATCTATGGCTCATGGGTACCTCCAGCATCATGGCATTGCACTGAGACAAAGGATTAATGTCCAGTCAATATTTTAGATGAGTTAATCACTCTGGCCTAACTGGATGGAATTACTCATCCAGATAGCTGGGAGAATGCTTTGTATTTAGCAGCAACTCTGTGATTGCTCCTTGAGGCATCTGGTCAAGAATGCTTATCATCACTGTCTTCATTTGATGTGCAGGGCAGTGATCCAGATAGCTGCATTTAAAATGGTGCTATATGATTCATGGTGAAGACTGAATATAATTGGTGACTAAGACAGTAGTAAAAGTGGTCTCCAAATACAGTTTGCAAATATTGACACAAAAGTTGTCAGATCTTTTTACTTTACAAATATTGTTTACCTGTCAACAGAGCCAGTGAGACAAATGTATGTTTCTTTTTCAGGATGAAAAATTATTCACTGACTAGACAAAAAATCATTTAATATGTTGTACTTGAGACTTGAGAGCAACATGAGTGCCCATGTTGCTGTTTGAAATGATATAAGACATCCTCTGAGAATAAGGCACTGCTATTGGAGCTATTCCAGCTTTTTGTACCTTCTTCATGTTGCCACCCAGTTTAGGATATGGTGGTTTGTTCACTCTGTTCCAGTCTACTGGCACTTTGATCTTTTCATAGAGCTGGAAGATAACCAAGGCATCTGACAGGTCACTGAAAACAATAAAAAAGATAAATCATTGTCCAAAGAACAGAGAAAAGGAACCCAACTAAACTATTAGTAAACCTGGTTTCCTAAAATAAATAAATAATTAATTAAAAAAGGAAGCATATATTCTTACAGGGTCCAAAAGTTTTTATGTTTTTGTAAACAATTTGGTGGTTGTATTTATCATTGGAAGGAAGTGTAATATCTCCACTTACCTGTATAAGTGATTTACACGTGGATTAACACCCAGGGAGTTCATCCAGTTCCTGAATGTCCTCTCTTCCCTTGTCTCACCTAAAACAACAGATACATCAATCAACAGGCCTGCAAAACACAACACTACAGTAAAATAAGTGTCTTGTGATGAAACCATAACTCAGAATTTACAGCACACTGAACCATAAACAGAAGAAGACACTGCTTGACATGTGACATAAAAGAGCACAGTGCAGCATGTAATATTTCTTCATGCCCTATATACTATAATATTTAGGCAGATTGGCCTTGAAATACCTTCAAAAGAATTAAAGAACAGCCTGTGCCCTAGCATGAACAGTTTCACTATGAGGCTGAGAAAGAAGGACCTGAAGATCAGTAAATGATCCATATAATGGTGGCCCTGACCCCAACCTGGAGCAAGTAGGCAGCAGGTTTATGCAAGATCTGATTTTGAAATTATATTCTCAATTCAGGGAATGTCAGATCAACTCTAATTTCAACTGACAAGCATGCTCAATAGTCCGTACTGGTTCAGACATCCCACAGACATTTTTGTCCTTTAATATGTGCTATCCAGAATCCCAAAATAGCAGAAGCTACATGCAGGTAAAGAGCAGCCTCCCTTTCTCATGGCCGCCTGTGCTAATGGTGCAATGAATATATATATCTATCTGAAGGACATAAGGTTAGATTAACGTAGCATCAACTCAGAGCTGTGGATACTGTGGCACTGGTGGCCAGAAACATCTTTTATTTGTGTTTTGCTTACCTTCAATAGAGCTCCAGTCAATGTCCTGGTTCTCTGGCTTATGCAGGGCAGGGTATTTGTTGAACAAGTTGGCGATGAAGGCCAAGTTTAGCTTTGGATTCCCGCGGACAACGTCAGTGGCTGTGACAAACTGCCGGCAGCCCAGCCGCTCCGCCTGCTGCAGCATGCGCTCTGCTCGCTGGACATCATCCTTCTCCTGCGCCGGTAGAAAATGGGGCCATCAGACTCATCCCACCACCTGGCACTGCACACAAGACCCACTCAGGATCGCTGCATGCGGAGCTGGGTGTGGGGATGTTAAAGCAGGTCCTTGACGGATTTATAGCTATTTCCTTTCCCACTTTTAGTAATGGCAGGTCTGTGTTTTCAAATGGGCTTTACCCACAGTCCAACCATCTCACCATATTGCTTTTACAGGGATATTCCATATAAAAAGGAATGGTTTGATGAAATTCCCCAAAAATGTATATAAATATACTTGTTACACGTTATTAGTTTATCAGAGTGGTTCAATGGTTGTTAAAGTTTCAGTAATAATAATCTAACAAAAGGAGAAACATAATTTAGTTATTTGAAAGCTTTAATTTCTGAAATACAACATCACGTTGCAATGTTAAAAAGAGTTGGTTTGTTCTGGCATCCCAGTACAACTTTGTGTTGGCCAGCAATGCAAGTAGCAGGCAGAAGATATCAGCATTTACTCTAAACTTATCTCATCTTACCCTTAATCCTGACATGTCAATAGTAATAGCCGGAATGCCTTCTTCATCTCCCTTGGGGGCAACTTGGTTCAGCAAATGGTAATAAGCTCTTGAGTCCTGTGACAGACAGGGAAATTAAAGGGAGGAAAAATTACATCTAAAGCTCAGGTTTTGCATGCATGCCAGTGCTCCCCTGAACAATATGCCTGCATGCTTCATTTTTATTACATCAGTCACTGGGCTACATAATTAAATTAATTAAGATGGAAGCACTTAGCATTTCCTACTTTATGCTGTATTTGCCAGATCTGTTTCTTCCCCAAGCCAATACATATATGCTGCAGAATGCTCAATGCAGAAGACAAAATTACCCTCACAAAAAGGACAGCGACAATAGAGAGATACTAGAATTGACTTAATCTGAACATTAAATTAGAGATAAGAAAATGCATACCTTTATAATGCTGTAGAAGTCAGGCTGCTGAGCATTTAATAAAAGAAAATGTAGAAGGAGAAAGCAGATGTTTAAAGCAGATTTCAAAGCAACGCTGGAACAGTTATGGAAGAGAAAGCATAGTTTTCAAGGACAAAAGTTAAAAACAACAATAGTATCAGCATTTTTCAGGCAAAAGGGCAGGAACAAGACAAGGATTTAATATGTTGTGTCTTTCATCTTTTGTAAAATGTAATGTTGCTTCCATGTGTGAAAAATATTAATCTCAGTTCAGAAGTAACTCAAAGAACTGAAAATAAAGCTACATGTTAGTGTCTAAGGACTTGACTAACTAACCCAACTAATACTCTTCAAAATATAAAGCAGATTACCTGAATTATTGTAAATCTTGTACATCTGCATTAGTACCCACCATATCTAGAAATGCGGTTTTTATAACAGAAGTGAGGTGGGGAGACACACTTAATTAGAGAATGGCTGTAAAGACTGAAGTCTTGGCCTCTGAGAGGTAAAAACACACCTTATTTTCCAACTGTAAATATGGTAAGCACAATTTATCTTTTGGCTACAGATGGGATTTAATCACTTGCACTATACTCCTTTTGGCCAGCCTACAGAAAGATGGGAAAGACTCTATTCCCTTCTCTTTCCATGGATGTGTTCCAGTCACCTCCATCCAGTGAACCAAAAATCTGTTAAAATAAAAATTGTACTGTCGAATGTGACTCTCAGACTCTCCTGTTGCCTCCCCTGGTGTTTTGTTTTTTTTTTTTTTTCCTGTATATCAAGTAAGTAATTGTCATAGTTAACTTGGCTGGCAGCCAAACACCACACAGCTGCTCGCTCACTCCCTCCCCATCCATGGTAAATGACTTTTCACGCTTCAGTCCCTGGTGAAGCCTACAACCAGGCATCTCTGGAGGACAGCTTTTCCCATGCTATGCTGGGAATGGGCAGGTCAGATCATGGCTGGTGAGGTCAGTGTGTTAGCCAGCCCCTGGCTTGTCTGGAAGTCAGCTCAGGCACCCTCCCTGCTATACCTCCTACAGCCCTGAGATGCTGGCTAGTCATCACACTGTAGCTTTAGTGTCTGAAACTCATCAGTGTGCACCACTGAGGTTCACATACATCTGTCTAGGAAGAACGAAAGTCCTACAGAGAAAGCTCTGCTGAAATCTGCACCCACAAGCCCATGAAGCCCCAGGTATGTGAAATATGCTGCATGGACTAGAGAGCCATCCTTGCAAGTGCCTCCCCTGCTAGCTATGTTATTTTGAATAGTCCCACCGAATTAAAACTTGCAGGTAAGTGCATGCAGAGTTACAGCAAAGGTTGGGACAGAGGAGCACATACCCCAGGTGCTGTACTGAAGGAAAGATCAAGTGAGGGAATTAGAAAAGACTCATCCTCTTCCCCTACACCTAGTTACATGTCTAGGTAAGGTCCAACCTTTTCCAAACCAAAGCCAGGTCAAGAGGCATTTAAGGACATTTAGGAAGGAGGAAAGCAACAGAGGCAGGGAACTAAAAATACAGTGGTAGAATCCGTATGCCCTGTCCAGAGCCAGCAGGCATTCCTTTCCCAGGCATTTGGTGTGCTGGGGCTGGCAGTGCTGACTGGGAGGTTGGGAGGAGGAGGAATACTACTGAGCAGAAAGGTAAATTCTACTAAACTGATTTTATGTACCCTGCTCCATGTGTTCAGCAGAGCAGTCTCAGCTGCTTGTATTGTTTCAGTGTGCAATCCCTGTTTAGAGAACAGTGATTTGGGTGTGGAGCTGCTGTTTTGCTATTGTTGGTCAGTGTTTCTCATACCTTGATGTCTGAGCTGAAGTTGTTGACTTTGTTGCATCCTGCATTCTCCAGGTGATAGTTTGCCCACCTCAGTAGCAGTTCCTCCGGAGACAACTTCATCAGATCCTCCAGGCTTTCTCCTTCTCTCAGAAGAGCAATCAAGGCTAAGCAGGGAAAAAAAGAAAAAAATAATGATGCTGTGAATACTTGTAGAGGAGAATGTATAACTATTTTCTTTCTTACACATTTTGCTACCCTAGTTTCTAAAAGTGAGTGATCAAAGGGTTGCCAAAATTCAAGCTGGGTTAGCATGACAGGACATAAACAGAAAGAGGGTCTCTTCAATAAAATGAGGACAAGGCTGTTAGTTGTGGATCTATATAGAAATGCAAGACAATTTCACTGTGATCTAAGAACTACGTGATTTCCTTGCCTCAGAACTTAATGAAAAGATGATGATGTTGAGCACAGGGGCAAGATGGGAATGAAAAAATGAACACAGACTTTCTGCATCTAAGGTGAAAGAAATCTCGGTGACCTTCACACTGAAACTGGATCCACACAGGTATTCTGAAGAACTTGCATATGACTTCATGGGCTCATAGGCCAGCAGAGTTAACTCATCTGTCAATTGGAGAAGATACCCTATTTATACAGAAAAATTAGCATAGTAGTTATGTTCATAAAAGAAGGAAGTGACAGGAGGGAAGGATTGACCTTTGCAACTGCAGGATGTTCAGCTGATCTTTGGAGCATTAAAGGTTTAAGAACAAGTTTTGAAAAGAACAACTAATAAGATGGAAACTAATTGTTAATGTGATAAAAAGAGAGAGTGTGTCACACTACTCTGATGACCTTCAGATATCTTTTTTCATTCCTTGAAAGAAATACGGATTTGCTTACTAAAGTAAACAGTGGAGATCTACTATATCTGGAGTTCCATAGATAATTTTATATATGGTGCTATGGAGTTAAACTGAAACAGAAGGAGATAATAGAAGCATTTCATGGTAGACAGTGGATTTTATTAAAAGAACAATGTTAACACTCAGAAATGTAGGCTGGAAGAAGGATTCTTGTGGAGTTGATCATGGATTGATTTTTGGATTAACGTTTTCTTCTTTTTTGCATCAATTATCTTGACACAAATACTAACAATGTGCTAAAAATTTGATGATGATATTCACTAAGTGGCATAGTCAATATAGAGGATGATCAGGAAATCAGACAGAAAGAACTATATGACAGTAATAAAAATGGAAGGTAATTTAATAGTGCCATGTTCAAAGACATTCACTAGGCAATTAATAGGAATAACTGCTATTAGCTGAAAGCTTATAGGAACAGAGGATGAGAACAACTTGAAAGTATCAGAGATGATCTGAGCCACCATGTGATGTGACCAGGGGAAAACCAAACATGTTATTCATGCATCCCAGGTATTTCCCATAGAAGTTGGGGTGTATCACTGCCTTGATACCATGTGCTCATGAAAGCTCATTGGAAATACAGTGTCCATATTCAAGAAAGGGGAATTGCACCTGGAACAGCTGCAGAGAGTGGCTATCAGGGAAAGACAGAACCAGAAAAGAAATCAAAATGATCTTGGCTTGTCTACCCTGACAAACTGAAATCTGAGATGAGAAGTGAAGGAGAAAATACCAGAAAGGGAAAAACAGTTATTAAGGGTACCTATAAGGGAACGTGAACTGGGAACTCTGGAAATAGGTGGCTCCGTCCATGAAAGGGATAGAAATTTGCAAGGGGTGAAGCAACGAAGGTTACACCTGCATGGTAACTGGAAGAAAGAAGTGTCACTGTTGGTTAAGTGGACTATCCAGAGGTGCAGGGAAGAAAGCAACAAGATGAAGTGCCTTGTGGACTGCATGTATGCACTCACAGCCTCAAGCTGAAGCTATTTCATGGAGAATTTTGGCATTGGTGAGACACATCTGGAGTGCTGTGTCCATTTTGGGGCTCCCCAGTACAAGAGCGACATTGACAAACTGCAGTGAGTTTAGTGGAGGGACACCAAGATGGTTGGGCTGGAGTACGAGATATATGAGAAGAGGATGAGAAAACTGGGTGTGTTTAGCCTGGAAAGAGGTCTGAGAGGAGAACAAGTATTGTCTTCAACTATTATAGAGGGGCCAGAGTTGTATTTTCCCCAGTATGAACAGCAAAAGGATGAGAAGTTACAGTTACAAGGTGCAGGAAGAGAAATTCCAACCAGATGTAAAAAAAAAAAATTCACAGCAAGATTGTTTGGGCTCTGAAACAGGCTGCCCAGAGAGCACTGGAAAAGGCCCTGAGCAACCTCATCTAACCTTGAGACTGGTACTGCTGTAAGTGGGTATTCGGATGGCTGAACCGGAGGACCTCCAGGGTGGACCTCCAGAAATTCCTTCCAGCCCAAATTATTCTATGATTCTAGAATTCTGATCTCACAAAGAAAGAGGAGATGTTTGGCAATCAACAGCAAGAAAAGAGCAAAGCTTCCTGAATGCAATGTAGCACTTTTTTAAAATCCCAGATTTAGTGCCAAAACACCAATATACCTGACCATCACTCCTGACCCAATGAAACTGGAGCTCCACATACAAGCCTATACCCAGCCCTGGGCTTTGGAATGCTGGAATTTGTGAAGAGCAAGGGAAATTAGAGCAGTCAAGAACACAGGCAACAAATACTTGAAGAAAAATTTGAATTAAGAATTTTTTTAAAGGAGCTTTATCCTAGAGACTGTTCAGTGATACCAGTAGAGCACTGAAATGAAGAATCATACATACCTTCGTTCCTGAAACTCTATGTCAGCAAAAAGTCCAATTTTGATGACTTGCCATAAAAGACCCAAAACCAGGTAAGGTTTCCCTTCTTTTAAGTCTTCAGCGCCAATGTTAACAACATGGCACCCAATGGCTGAAGCAGAATTCAAGGCCAGGTTCAGATTTT